CTGCGGGGCCTGCTCTCGGCCCTTTTCCTCCTCCTCTACCTGACAGCCCTTACAGGCAACAGCCTCATCATTGCAGCTGTTGCACTAAGCCCAGGTCTGCACACCCCCATGTACTTCTTCCTTGTCAACCTGGCCATTTTGGACATCGTCTGCACATCCACCGTTCTCCCCAAGCTTCTGGAGAGCCTGGTGGTCCACGTGGCCACCATCTCCTACCATGGCTGCCTGACGCAGCTCTTCTTCCTGACCTGGTTCCTGGGTGCGGAGCTGTTGCTGCTCACAGCCATGGCATTTGACCGCTATGTGGCCATCTGCCAGCCACTACGGTATGGCACCATCATGAGTTGGCCAGTGTGTGCACTGCTGGCTGCTGCTGTGTGGACAATCAGTGTGGTCAACACAACTGTGCACACAGGCCTTATGACACAGCTGACTTTCTGTGACCCCACACACATCCATCACTTCTTGTGTGAAGTACCCACACTGCTGCTGGTGTCCTGTAGCCCCAGAGCCCTCAACAGTGTCATGATTGTCATTGCTGATGTCTACTTTGGCGTGATTAACTTCCTGCTTACCTTGTCCTCCTATGGCTTCATTGTGGCCAACATCCTCCGCATCCGCTCAGCCTCAGGTAAGCGCCGAGCCTTCAATACCTGCTCCTCTCACCTCCTGGTGGTCACCTTGTACTACTCCACTGTCATCTACACCTACTTCCTCCCGGGCTCTGGTGCCTCCAAGGAGAATGGCAAGGTGGTGGCCGTGTTGTACACAGCAGTCAGCCCTGCTATAAACCCGCTCATCTACACACTGAGGAACAAGGATGTGAAAGCTGCCCTCCAGAAGGTGGCCCCTGCCTCCCAGTTAAGAAGAAGAGTGGCCACATGAATTCTTCCAGTGTTAATTCTGTTAATTTAAAAATATGACTTTGACAATCAGAAACAAGGGGCAAGGAAGGCTCAAGACGGGGACAAATGGAATGGATATACACACAAGGAGCTTCCCTGGTGGGGCAGCCCAGTGTTTGCTTGAACATTAGCAAATCCTGACCCTGAAGGGTCAACGTGGGGGCTTCTGGGAGTGAGGAAGATTGGCCCACAGCAACAAGGCTGTTTGTGTATTTTATGTCACTTCTTTCAGGGTGGAATCTGTGTTTGGCCATAGGACTTCTGAGGACATTTGCTTGATGTGCTCCATTGTGGGGGTTTCTGACATCCTGCT